AAGCCTTATCCATCTTATTCAACCATTCTCTACCTTTAGATTTATGATGGCAGCATCAAATGTGTTGTATAGTACTCATGGTACTCACTGATGCGTTGGCATCAGTCAATTGAATTCCTATCTTTGCCTCTATTGAGTTACAGCCGCTCCATCCAGCACCTTTCTGGATTTATTGAAGGAATGTACTCAGCCGAAGTAGCAAACGAAACTCAAAGATCAAGAAAGAAAGAAATACACAGGTTTGATATTTGAAGTCGCTCTAAAAGGTGTCAGCATCAATACCCTAAGACGTTTAGAGTCATCCCGCTGTCTTATTGTTTTTGTCGAGACATTCTGTACATCACAAACAGATTAAACATTATGGTGTTTCAACTTTAAATCCAGTTTCCCCAAAGCTGTCTCTGTGTTTAAGGTACTTTGTGATCAAGTTCTGAAGTCTGTCATACTGTGCAAGAAGCAATTACAGGTAGAAAATCTCTCAGAGTTCACTGCAGCAATAAGTCGCTTCTCCCTTTTAACAGCCCGGAGTCCTTGAGGAAGATTTATCGCCAGCGGACAGAAATTACCAAAAGTTTCAGGCTGGTTCTTGTGACACAGTGTGCTGGCTTGTTTACTGCAACAATAATCTTCTGGCTGGATTAAAGTTATTTTGTGTCTCCTAAAAGAGTCTTATGGTCATGATTGTACTTTATTCAAGGCTGCCAAAAACCTCTCCTGATAAAGAACCACCATATCTGTGCACTGAAGAATACTTTTGTGTGTCTCATACAGTTTGTTCTCATTATAATAGGGAATGTCTTGTTTGAGATGGGCCTTGTTAGTGTCTTTCAAATGTGCTTTGAACCATCCGAATGATCGCAATTGTTGTTGCATCCTAAAGATTCTGATTTTTCAGATTCAGTTCAGAAGACTTTAGAAATCCCAGATGGGCAATTCAGTTTCACAGCCCACCAAGTCAATAAAAAAAGACATCGACAAGGCTGAGTGCAACTCTGAGAAGAAATCCTGGAGCTTCTGTCATGCACAAAACTGTTTACAATGTCGCCCAACCTTTTTGAAATGGCACAACATTTCCATGTGTTGTTTTTGCCACTTCATTATATATATAAGATGTACATTTTACTCAGTGGGGGTTCCAGAGTCTGTTGGGGCCCTAGGCAAAAATGTACAGAGGGCCCTCCATCCAGCGTTCCTCACCTTTATGTAGGCCTCGGCGATATGACTAAAATGATATCACAACAAAACATTTCACATCAGTCAATATAATTCTCACGATAAATGTTAAATCATCAAAAGTCAGATTTTTTTCTCCTGAGTCAAAGTTGAAGAAACTGCCTCAATCCTATGTGTGAGTATCTGCTGATCTGGATGTTGATCTGCTGTTTACAGTTGCAAGTACAGATCTTTGTATGGTGTTTTGAATTCAAATGAACTGAATTCACAGCCACAGATGAAGCATGTTCTGACAAAGACTCTGATAAAAGGTAACTGATTTTCCTCTTCAAGCTCCACACCATTTGCTTCATGCAGACCTTTTCCTGAGAAATGTGGTCAGATTATTCCCTTGACAAACTACTTGTCCTCCATTCCCACTCCCTGGTATCTTTTTTCATCAAATCTCCCTCCATTCATCCTCTCGCTTCCCTTTCAGTTCTTTGTCATTCACTTTGCGTCCTTTAACTCACTTTATCTCCCGTTTTCTGTCATTCTCCCCTTCCAAAGACTTCCTCTCCCACCATCCCATTTCCATCCCTTTATTCATCCTCATCCAACCCTCCTGCTGTCGCTCGCCTCACCCACCCTTTTCTTTCACGAGCCGTCCTTCTTCTCCCTCCAACCATTCATATGACTATTTATGAGAGCGCTCTTCCTCACAGTAGGGCCTGAGTAAAGTAGTGCAGAGTAAAAGTAACAGGGAACATTGCCCCCCCCTGTCCCCCCAAGAAGCTTAAGGCACTTTGAGTTGAGGCCATTTATCACCCTCATGAAGCATCAGCACAATCACAAGTCCACATAGTCCTCATGCAACTACACACATTTATGTTGTTTGTGTGTTCTCCCACAAGACACACAAGCAATTCACCCTGCACAATCTGGAAACTATTTATCCACTCTGTGTTGCAACTAAATAGTCACTTTACTGGGGAAGGTACTATGTGCAAGTGTCTGTGTGTGCTCAGGAACAACTGCAGCTCCCTGAGTGCATTGAGATCACCCAATGACATTGAGCAGACTAAGGCCATGGAGTCAAATGGCTCCTTCTTCAGTAAGTGGTTTAGAGAGAGACAGAGACACACTTTAGAGCTTTGTGAAGGATAGAGCTGCATTGCTTGCGGCTGCAGTCTATTCTAAACGTGTTACGTGTTTAAACCAAAGAGGACACATTTTCTTAAGTAGGCAATTGCAGGAGAGAAGTTATAGTAATATTACTGTAGGCTATAGCCCAGCTTTACAGCCAACATCAATAATCAATAATCATCACTCACACTGGAGTACCATAAGGTTGTGGCCTCTGACCTTTGGTTACATTGTATACATCACCAATGAATGTTTTGCAGATGATCTGATCTCTGCTCTGATATTGGCACAAAAAACCTTAACAACTGGCATTAAGATGATTTACTGATTCTAAACCCAAAGACAACAATAATCAGTGAGTATGGATTTTAGAAGACGTTCATCTCTCTCCCCTAAGAGTGTAAGTACCTGGGCCCAATTATTGACAACAAATGGATTGCACGACTCTCAAAGGCTCAACAGCATCTTTATTTCTTAAGGAACAATAATTTGTGCTACAAGCTCTGATAATATATACAATTGGCAATCTGCAATTCATTGATCCAATTGCCATTCCTCATGTAATCATGCAATGTTTTTCTGATGTATTTTTTATGATTTTGTTTCGTTTCATGAGCTGCTTTGTGTTTTTTTTTTTTTTTAATGTTTTTTGTGGTTTATGCTTCCATGCTGTTGGTGCAAGGCAAATTTCTCCAGGGGCAAAAAAGCTTTTATTCATGTATTAATGATGCATCAAGTGCATCAAGAGTAAAAATCATGACATGACAGTAGGCTATAGAAAGTATGGTTATATTGTCAAAAAGCACATTGACACACTCTGGTAGGGTGCTCAAGAACGCATTGTTTCTATTTTGTATTGCTTAAATTCATTACTGTGTTACTTCAAATGTATTTTGAAGATAGGTCTTTTATTTTGAAGGTGGCATGGTTGCAGAAAGGTGAATGTAGCCTACCTGAAAACGGTGTGAAATGTCCGAGCAGGTACAAAAAAAAAAAAAGCTGTTTTATTTATTAATTTTTCAAACAGGAAATAATTAAGTCATCATTTCTTAGTTTTAAGTAGCCTACAAGGTTGGGAAGGAGACGAGCTTTGTGAAAGTTTAATTTAGTTTTGTTCTTTAAATTTACAGCTTAATTTCGTTGTTAGGTTCAGAGAGGTGCGGTTTGTAAGTTTGCATTAACTGCTACATTAAATGCGCAGGTGAGTTTCTTCACCTGAGAAAGAGAAGTAGCTTTTATTGCTAACTGTGTCTAAGGAAATGAAACTTGTGCAAAGGTTTGCCTCCATAAACGCTTTGGGTTATAATGAGAATGTAAAAAATAAAAAATACAAATTAAATACGTGTTTGCCTTTCGTGAAAAATAATGAAAAATAATGAAAAATGTTCATTTTATTAAATTTTTTCACTCTAAAAAACTGTATTCTTTATATTCTTATGTAATGCCGACTTGATTATAAGCACAGGTGTGACTAATGACTGAAGGCTAGTTTGAATTGTAAAATTATTAATAGTTCTAATTACTCCTTTGATATTCTAATACAGCAAGTCATTACTAGCTTTGTAATTATCCTTCTGTAGGTTCAAGCTGAATGAATACACGTAGACCTACAGTAAATATTAATTTACATTTGTTAGGTGTTAAATTAATTTAAAAAAAGTTTTTAAATGTCATTAGGTCTGTTCCTAAGTCTTTAAAACTAATATAGTCTAGGTTTGAAGTTATTTTTTCGCCATATTTCAGGCCTGTTTCTGAGTCCTAATTCTTGTCAGTCTGTTTTCTCCAGCTAGCACAGTTTTACCTATATTTGAAATGTATGTCTCTCTGCTATGTATAATTTGAAATGTGTTGCAGTTGGTGCTAAAACTATTATGTATTATGAGTTTGAATGGAAGTAAATCAGTCACAGTACAGGAACAATGTGTTCAGGGTCACACTTAATGGGGTACATCAATGTAATAATGCACATGTTTTTACATGGATCAATATGGTATGCAAGCCCACATTATAAAGAGGAAAACAGACACACATTTTAGACAGAAGCTGCACAACACTTATTCACATGTGCTGAGGGGGTACACTAGAAATATCATAGTTTAATAACTGTTAAAAGCAGATGTTCTGTTGGTATGGAAACATTTAATTAATTATTTTTTATTCTGCATACTTTAATTCAAATGTTATACACGTGTACTGAAACACACATGCACAAACAGGACCTGTGGACATGCATTAATGGAGAGATGTCAGAGTGGGGCCGCTACACTGGGAGCACGCCAGAGGTGTTGGGGGTTTGGTGCCTTGCCCGAGGGGCAGCTCTGCAGTACTCAGGAAGTGACCTGGTACTTTCATACTCCGTACAAGGACTTGGATCGGCGACTCTCTTGTTCTCAACTCAAATCCTCCAGGCTGAACTTATGTTGCATTATCCTTTTATAAATATAGGAAGAGTCACATTTATGTTCTGCCTGTAAAAATTCTTATCATCTAAAACTAATCAAGGTGTATTCAGTAACATCAAGTTTTGACAAATATGAAGTCTTTTCTCCTGAAATACTACTTGTATAAAATTTGGGCTTTTCACATTTTTCCCATTGATTTAATTTGCTCATTTGTCACCCTGACTTTTGTTTCTTTAATTAGATGTTATTGTTGCTGGGTCTGTTAAAGATTAAGTCATTTTGTTCTCTTTCCATCCACAGGTCGTAAGTTCGTCATAGCCAATGCAAGAGTGGAGAACTGCGCCATCATCTTCTGCAACGATGGCTTCTGCCACATGTGCGGTTACTCGCGAGCAGAGATCATGCAGAAGCCGTGTACGTGTAACTTCCTGTATGGACCCGACACCAAACGACTGGCCATCGCCCAGATGGCCCAGGCCCTGCTGGGGTCCGAAGAGAGGAAGGTGGAGATCAACCTTTACCGCAAAGACGGTAGGAAACACTTCTCCTAAGAGTTACTTGTGAGGTGTATGTGTGAATGAAAGAGAGGCCGTGTGCACCTGTTCTATGTCCGTTGATTCAGTAAAGAGCGGACTGCAGAGAGGCAGTTATGGAAGGAAGTGATGGAAAGGACGTGTGTGTGTGTGTGTGTGTGTGTGTGTGTGTGTGTGTGTGTGTGTGTGTGTGTGTGTGTTGTTGCACGTAAAAAACAAGTGACAAAGATGTAGTTACAAGCGATGCAGGCTGTAAGAGAAAAATATAAGCACTGATGTGTATAATGTTGTAGTTGCTGTGTTTGTGGGTGTTTGCATCTATAGAAAATACTACTTAGTGTATGTATTGAAAAGGTCTTTTATTTGAAAAATTTGAGTTGTTTGTAATCTTCACTTTTACTCGTACTTATTTCAGTGTTGGCTTCACTGGCTGTGTGTGTGTCGTGTGCAGCGAACAGTTGGCTCATGCATATGTGTGAGCTGTTATGTGAGAGGGACCTGACTGCTGTTTACTGATATGTCCATGGTGTATTTTGTGTAAATTGCAACTTTTTTCTGCCAGTCTTATTGATGTGATGAGTGTGGAAGTGCAAAGAATGCAGTATGTTACATTTGATCTGTTTCCAAATAGTATTAATTGTAGATCTATTGGTGGCTGTGCAGAGATTTCGTTAAGTCACTGCAAAGTATCAAACTCAAGAGGCACTTTAGTAGGAAAGTAGGGAAGCCCTCTGGGAATTCTCCTCAGTGGTCAGAGCATATTTATGTTTGCACATATGCCAGCTGGACCTGGACCAGGTAACAGGACGCTGGTCACTGCACTGATAGACGGCGTCCATGGTGATAAAGAGCTGCCATGGTAATAAAGTCAGCAGCTCTCTGGGCTTCAGCCAAAGCATCTGCTGGACATTTTCCACCTGTAGACAGACACCAGAGCAGCAGTAGGAGAGAAGGAGAGAGAGAGAGAGAAAGAAGAGAAAAAAGAAGAGAGGAGGAAAAGTCTTTGAACAACCTCAGGGTGAAAGATGAGAGGCTGTGGGGAAAACAGCACAGCCAAGGGGGGTGAGGAAAAAAAGCAGTGGGTGAGATCTGGTCGCAAACAATAGGAAGGAGAGAAAAACGGTGTCAGAAAGTCTCTTTCTCACATAATCTAAAAGCTTTGTTGATGGTGAGAGAAAGCAAGGAAAAGACAGAAGGAGGCACACAGAGGGGTGGCGCCAGCTGTCTCCTCTTTGGTGAAACTTCTGAGGCTATTCCAATTCCAAACCCCTCCTGCACACTTCACTTTCCACTGTTTATACTGGAGATGTGGACTTACACACACCAGCCATTCCCTACAAAACAGTATCTTGTAAAAACTACAACTCTATATATAGAACTACTGAGGTGTTGTCATTTATTTTCCGCTGGCTAAGTTAACAGTCCACAAGGCTGATAATAGATTGTTAAAAGAATTTGGAGGGCAACTTTGTATGCCTGCACGACTCTGCTGTCTGCCTTGTGCAACCATTAAAAGCTATTGTCATGTTGCAGTAGCTCTGATAGTCCAGTCCCTTCTAATCAAAAAAAGAGCAAATTACGATACTAACTTAAATTTATTGCACCATCATTTCTAATTTGAAGAGGGAAGTGGGTCATGAAATGACCGCACTCAAAGGAATGACTAATGTGATTAAATATCAACAAAAAAAGAACAATATGAGGTTGAAGAGGTCAGTGAGGGTCTGAGCATAGCAAAGCCAACACTCATCCCCAAACAATATCACCTACTTTAACTAAATAGAAATGTGCTTTTGGCTACTTTTGTAAGATGCAAAGTGTATCCAGTATGTTTTTATGTAAGGCAGAGTCAGATTTTATCTCCTTCTCCTGGATAGCTGCTAAGCTTTGCCCTGAGGCGTTTCGATTCCTCTTCACCTGCTGCAGTAACCCTTTTATTCCTTACTTGTGCATGACGATTCAACTGAGCTTGCTTAGGTGTCTTATCGATTCATATCTTGATGGATATGAACTTTATATTCAGACCAAACAGCTCACATATAGCTGAGAGTGGTACAAAATGTTTGAGAAGTGAGTACATGGATACCCAGCAGTATTGTGTCTCCTGCATGCTAAGCTAGAAATAATCGTTAAGAGGTTTGAAGAGTGTAAAAAGCTCTTATCTACAGTGTGACCGAGCTCAACTGACAATGCACGAGAGTACATAAACAAGCGCACACTACAGCCTACACACCAGGCATCTCCCCTCTCTGTGAATGGGCAGTTGTGTTTGTCATGTTGCCATGGAGTTTGTAGCGAGGCTCACCTCATGTTGATGCAGTAACCAAGGGACACTCATGTGAATGGACAAAAAAATGTCCCTTTTGGTGCTCCTCCTCCTCCACTGGGCACATCCTCTTTATGTAGAGGATAGTGTTTCCATGATTAAACTTAGGTCAAGTGCATGTAAACATGGATAATATATTGTATGAAGATCAGGGTTCATCCTGGCTCAAAATGAGGAAGGTGGTGGAGCAAAGATTTGTAGAAATAAATTTAGCCTGGAGGGGCTGTTTCCCCCCTGGACATGTTAAGAATCAAACACTATAATTATTGTATTCTGGTCTCTTGTTGTGCACCAATTTGGCAATTGTTCCCCTCCCTTTATTTCTTAAAAAGGAAAATGAGTTAACGTAAATAATACATTTTACCTCCTAGAAGATTTAAAGTGTAAGCATTCACATGTAGTATGATTATGACTATGACAGACACAGAGAGAAGTGTACTGCGTCACCTTACAGAATTATAAAGTAGCCAGATTTGAACATTATTCACTTTCTATATTTTTTCCTGCAGTCATGAGTTCTGCAGTTTATAATTTTCTGACACGTATGTTTTAGGCATGCCTGTACAGCAGCGTAGCAAAAAAAAAACAACACTAACGCACTCACAGAAAACGTTAATCATTGTCTTCTCCTTTCACTTTTCTTTCTCTTTTGGTATTTTGGCAGAGCATTTTCTGGTGCACAGGATTGATTACAATACAGTACCGCCATAATTGCAGTTACAAATGACAAATTCACCAGGTGCTGGATTGGTAAAACCGCGCTCTTCATGAAAACTGCCATCAGACTTTGACAAGGACCGGTGGAGGTACAAAACTAGACGGGGTTGGCCACCTCCAACTTTTGAATGCAGTAAAAATCCTGAGGACTTTAACAAAGCATTGTGTCTCAAGGTAAAGCTTCATACATTTCAACTCAGTAAAAAAAAAAAGTGAATGAATAAAAAATACTCCCGGATAAGATAATCTGTTAGTGTGTGGGCAGTTTGACCCCGGGGACTCCTTTCTTTCTTCAAACACTCCCAAGCACACACACACACACACACACACACACACACACACACACACACACACACACACACACACACACACACACACACACACACAAGTCTTAGGTAACCCACCTTCAAGCCATCAGAGGGCTGCTGATCGAATGCAGCGGACACGCCTCATCCATAATGCACACAAGGAGGAAACACTATGCTCCTTTTTCCCCTTTGCCCTCCTTCCTCCCCTCCCTCACTCCCTCCTTGACGAGCCTTTTTGAAGATAGAATAAGCCTTCGTTGTATTTCGAAAAGCAACCTAAGCGTTGAGTGTGCTGATGGTGGGGGTTTCACTTGGACTACTGGGGCTGTGTAGCCATGACCCACACATGCATACATACAGTATGCAGGAAGAATGTACACACATGAACAGGTCGCACACACACATTATGTGCACACACAGGCTTCATCTGAGCCGATTTATCTAGTGTCAGGCTTAGACATGAGCCTTCACGATGATGGATTTCGACTCTCGCTCTCACGCTCAATTGTCCGAGTCTGATTGCTCACCAGCTTAATCAATCATGCTCTCCAGGTAAACCTTGGTAGGAAACATACACACACCAACTCAGCATGAAGAGGTTTTGGAGCACAAAGTGCTACTGCCCCTGTTGGCTTAATGACTTAATAACGGACTGCGGGATTGTGCACTTCAGCGTTGACTTTTTCAACAGCGGAGGTTTCTGCTTGAAAGAGACACACTCAAGTTGTGTTTAGACCGAAAACGATGTACATTTTACTTTCAGCACCATCAGTGACTAAATCAGTGAACATATCTAAATAGAACAGCAAATATATTAAGTTGGCAAGACAGGGCAAATCATGTGAATAATGCAAAATAAAAATTTGACATACTGTAAGCATCATTGCATCTTTTGAATATCAGCTTCATGTGGTCAAGAAATTAGCATGACTTTGTATTGGAATAGTCCTCACATATTGATTTGCACAAAGGGTTAAATGCATTAAAAAGGCTTTTTAAAAGTAGTTTGCTTGTCTTAACTTGTAAAAAGCTCAGACAGCATTATTTTTTTCAGACTTTTTACAAATCTGAAGACAAGACTGTGATTTATTGCAAATAAAGCACAGAAAACTCATGTTCAATTAAGTTTTTGTTTTTTTTCAAAACAGTTTTGTAAAGGTTTATTTGTGGCTTTTGTATGCCTTTATAGGGTTTTTCCTGCATTCAAAAACTGGATGTAGCAAGCTCTGCCTTAGACGAAATGAGGCTGATTTTACAGGAACAGAAAGGGGTTAAGAAAAAAAGCTTTTTTCTTTATTCCAAAAATCAATTTTACTTTTAAGCAAGCAAACAACTTTCCTATTTTTACACATGAAAAAGGCAAAGGCCATTTACACTAATTATTTTCTTATAGGAAAATGTAGTACACATTGAGGCTTTTATAGCATCATTTGCAACTTGCATTACGAAAACACTAAATTGGATTCAATTCCTGCTTACAGGACGAGAGCAATCGCCGAGTAGCTTTGAGATGCTCCCAGGTGAGACAAGGATTTCATTTTGATTATGTTTTATTGATGCCTAACATTAGACTCTTGTAACATCTGGAGTGATATCGGTGTACAGCTGCATCACTCAGAATGGTAACATCGGCCAATATTATCGGCT